GGGCGCATTCGTACTTGCACAAAGTCCTTCCAATAAGCATGGGTGAGTTTTTGACCCATTTGACCTCTTGTTTGAGTATTTTTCGTTCCAGCTTCGATACTGACCCTAATTCTACTTAAATTAGGACCTACTAGTGAGTTTTTAAGAAACTGGAAGTTTCCAACTAGTGGAAAAGCCAGCTTGGGAGGGCACGCTTCATTCTAGTAATTAACCACATGGAATTTAGGCAAGCAATACTTGTAGAGATAGCTAGGACGAGTCGAGCATACCTTGTCAAATCTCATTTAACGTTTCTAGAAAGTTTAGAGCTAGCTCCTCGGGGTGCACTCTAGATCTTTAGTAAACCTAGTGATTCCTACGAGTATTGCTTGCCTAAAATCTGTCTGGTTACTTATCGAGATGAAGTACGCCCTCTCAAGCTTGCTTTTCTGCTCATTGGAAACTTCCAATTTCTTAAAAAATCACTAATAGGTCTTGATTCAAGTAGAATTAGAGTCAGTATCGAAACCAGGACTAAAGATAGTCAAACGGGAGGTCAAATAGGTCAAAAACTCACCTCATGCTCGCTAGGACTCCCACGCGCAAATATGGACGCGTCCAAACTTGCTCTTTTAGCATGCCAACGGGTTGTTTCGAGGTCGAGAGAGAGAGAGAGAGTTCAAATTTGGAGGCGTGCAAAACATTTCTTAGATTTTCGTGCACACAGAGTCAATTCGAGTTGTCAAACGTGGGCACAAATTTCAAATTAAATAGGTCAGACCTCTGAGACACGTATTATCACAGAACGAAAGACGCTCAATCCCACTCCCTGTGTGACATGTGGCAGCAGTTCAACCTAACACGCCCACGTCCTAGTTGTGTGACGAGTTTCCTACCTCTCTCTTCCCTGCGAGTTCACTATTCAAAAAGCGGATAAATTTTTCATCTTCATACTATTTTCTTTGCACTTTTATAAGTTCCTCACTCTTTGGCACATACATGTATCACATCGTGGACGAGGATAAATTAGATCTTTAATGAATGTGTTGTATATGGAAAGTTTTGTTACAAAAAAAAAAAAAAAAACAAATAAGTAAAGAAATTGGTATCGCCCAAACTTGAATCGAAGACCTTCAGTATGTTAGGATAACCAACTACACTACGACACTAAGTATTGGTTGAGAAAAAAGTCATCCTATTAATAAATAATAAATAAATAAATAAAATTTCAATTAAATTCGACATAAATCAAACTAAGTTTATTATTTGAGATTATTTATTCCATTATTGAGTTATAAGTTATAGGATTTTTCTTAGGAAATAAAAGAATTAATATGTATGTTTGCTTCCAGCCCAACAAATGGTGTCGTGGTGTAGTTGGTTATCACGTCAGTCTAACACACTGAAGGTCTCCGGTTCGAGTCCGGGCGACGCCATGTTTTACAATTTCTTTTGTTATTTTGTTTATTTTTCCGTGTTAATAAGGTTGTAACTAAATGCCTCACATGTCTGTATACATGAAAAAATTCATTTAAAACATGATTCTTAAGGGTACAATTTAAACATAAATGCAATTACCCTAGCTTCGGTTTCATGGCCTCCTCGATGGACTATTCTTAAGGGTACAATTTAAACATAAATGCAACTACCCTAGTTTCGGTTTCATGGCCTCCTCGATGAACTATTCTGAAGGGTACAATTTAAACATAAATGCAACTACCCTAGTTTCGGTTTCATGGCCTTCTTGATGGACTATTCTGAATGGTACAATTTAAACATAAATGCAATTACCCTAGCTTCGGTTTCATGGCCTCCTCGACATTGTAGTCAGTCCGTAGGGGGATATCTTACCTTCACCTTAAAATGCATACACGACTTTGCATGAAACTTTCCATGACCTTGAACTTATTGTTATTTTGTTTCTTCTATTTCATTTTGTTTCTTCTATTTCATTGATGTTTATTTTTATTTGAAATTATTTTATGAACGTTTAAGTCCACGACATCATTTATGAAATATTTTAAATGAATTTTTTTGTAACAGAGCTTAGGCTTATAGATTCTATAGACTAGCCTAAGATGTAGGCTCAAAATGTTTCCATGGCTTGGAATATGAGTGCTACAAGATGTAAGGATGATTAAGAACATATTTAGATTTAACAAGATTTATATTGCTATTATAAAGTTATAGTATCGTAAAAAGCATAGGTTACTTGATACTAAACGTATGAAAATAATTTTACTAAGAAATGTTAGATGTTTCAATTAAATATCTCAAAATATTGTTAAACGAAGTAGTGTTATGACATAGAGACAAAAAAGGATGAAAAGTGGAGTGAGAGATCCATGAGGATGAAAAGTGTAGAAATTTGGATAGGGAATTGAGGACCCAAAAGTGAATAGGTAAGTAACTAATTTTCTCAAGTTTTAGTGGTATGAATCATTTAGAAATCTATACGAACCCTAATTTAAGTTATATTTAAAGAATTATGTTAAAAACGGAAGGTTAAGGACCTAAACTAAACAATTTATTCATTTTCGAAGTGATTTTAAAGTAACCCACATTGGTTAGAGAGGAGAATAAACCATCATTTATAAGGGTGTAGAAACCTCCCGTAGTAGAGCGTTTTAAAAGGACGCTGGCCCCAAAGGGGGTGGATTTGGGGGCAGTCCCACGTCAAATGTAGGAAGAAAAGAGTGTCTGCAAGGATATTGGGCTCCAAAGAGGGGTGAATTGTAATGTCCACATTGGTTAGGAGGAGAACAAACCACCATTTGAATAAACCACCGAGCCCCAAAGGGGGGTGGAATGTGATGCCATATTGGTTGGGGAGGAGAACAAACCACCATTTGAATAAACCACCGGTCCCCAAAGAGGGGTGGAATGTGATGCCACATTGGTTGGAGAGGAGAACAAACCACCATTTGAATAAACCACAGGGCCCAAAGGGGGTGGAATGTGATGTCCCACATTGGTTGGGGAGAAGAACAAACGACCATAATAAACCACCGGGCCCCAAGGGGGAGGAATGTGATGTCTCACATTGGTTGAGGAGAAGAATAAACAACCTTTGGGGGTGGATTATGATGTCCACCATAATAAACCACGGGCCCAAGGGGGGTTGAATGTGATGTCTCACATTGGTTGGGAAGAAAAACTCATTTGAATAAAACCCAAAGGGGGTGAATTGTGATGTCCCACATTAATTAAGGAAGAGAACAAACCACCATTTGAATAAAGTGGATTGTGATGTCCCACTAGTTAAGGAGGAGAACAAACCACCATTTGAATAAAGTGGATTGTGATATCCCACATTAGTTGGGGAGGAGAACAAACCACCATTTGAATAAAGTATGTCCCACATTAGTTGGGGATAAAAACAAACGACCATTGTGATGTCCCACATTGGTTGGAGAGGAGAACAAACTACCATTTGAATAAACCACCGGATCCCAAAGGGGATGGGATTGTAATGTCCTACATTGGTTAGGGAGGAGAACAAACTATCATTTATAATAGATTGTGATTGTGATGTGATTATAAGGGTGTGATAACCCATTGATTGTAATCCCACATTAGTTGGAAAGTAGAACAAACTACCATTTATCTTCTTTGTGTGTTGCACCATCCTCAATAACATCATGGCACTTATCTGACCAATTAAGCATATATTGCTACCTTCTCTATCGACCGTATTTATTCATAGTATAATTCTAAAATTCTCTCCCCACACACCACTCTTAAGATTAGATGACTTGGTCACTAGAACTAATCATGCTTTCAAATGTATTAGTATACTGAAAGTTGAAGCCTCGATCCACAAATTAAAGAGAAGAACATCATGAGTATACAAGAACAGTTCCAAATTGATAATCATGTATTTGCAGACAAATCATAGAGGCGAACGTTGATCTTTCCATCCCTAAGACAATTTCATTTGAACTGGTATCATGTCCTTTACAACAAAATTAGGCGATCGTGAATCATCCACCTAAATAGTACCAAGCCAAAAGCTTTATATCTTCTTCGATATGGGTATAAAAGATACTGACAAACAAAGACTTTCTTCCTTTAATGTAATCATATGTTAGTGTACATGATATTCTACTATTTTCTTATGTCACATCTTTTCCATTCTTTACATTCTCCATTGCATTCATCTTATCTTCTTCGAGGAAATATGCCATATAAGAGTAGTGATAAATTTTCACCATCTAATACATTAAGAATTTAATTTTTTTTCATTGGTTGACATCAAATTTTCGTTCATTTAGTAAAAAAAATTCTAAGATGGTATGATCAATTACTAATGCTAAGCAGTAAGAAATCAAGGCACGATCATGTTTATGAGTGCAGTTCTATATAATTATGACTAAATTAGGGCAAACATTTGCTTAAACGTTTTGATAAAAATAAAAAATTAAAAAGAAATCCTCAGTTCATACTCTGTATTTAATTTTCAAGTTCCTAAAAATCCTCTCAGACGATTTTCAAACTTTTGAGAAACATCCAGAAACAATTAAAATGTATTTTGATTCATCAAGAAGAAATCGATTAAAATCAGTTGTGTAGACTGATTCAGAATCTTCCGAAATGAAAAAATAAACCAAAATTTAAGAGTAGAACGAAGAACTTAGGCTATGTCCAGTAGGTACATTTATTCAAAAGGTTAAGCGATCAAATCGCACAATAATAATGAAACAAGGAACCATCAGATGCCAAAATTGATCCACAAGCTAAAAGCTATTCGGTCCGCATCATGGTTGCGTCTTCCGAAGAAGACGCCCATCATTTGGTTCCTTAACTTCATATTCTTCACTTCCAAAAGGAAAAAATCTCATTCCTCAAACATCCAATTCAACAACAGAACAAGGAAATGAAGGAAATATTTGAACATATAACAGAGAAAAAAAGAGAGTATCAAAGCGAAATTCAATTCACCACAGAAGAAGATGATGAAGGCAAGATTTGAACATAAAACAGAGAAAAAGAGAGGATTAAAGAGAATACAGAGAAAGAAGAGGCTCAGATCAATGGGTTTAGAGAAACTTATCATCACAGACTGATGTTAAACATCATCAGAGTGGTGCATGACAATCTCAAAGAATCCTCATTGCCAAAACACTTCTTGTTACTCTAATTGACAAATCAAAAACACTAAAATCAAACACAGAACTCTCAAACGAAGAAGAAGATGATGATTTCCAGCGATACAATTACTACGAAAACCGGCTACTGTGATTATATAGGCGTTCGAAGCAGAAACCCTAATTTGATTTCCTCATTTTACTATTCAATGGCCGTATGGGGCTCCGGGTACAAAGCCACGGGCCTTGGCCTGGGCCTAGTCATGGGCCTGGGAATGGGCCTGGGAATGGGCCTGGGCCTGGGCATGGGCATAGTCTTGCATAAAATGCTTGTTATTAAAGTTTTTTTTTTTTTTTTTTCTCTTCCCATTTTTATAGCTTTAAATGTTATTCTCCCTATCTTTACCCAAATATGACTAATTTACCCTTAAGTTTCATTCCGCCATACATGTCGTACGTCAAATGTAGTATCACATTTCATTTCATCATCTGCATATCAAAAATGGGTCCATGAGCTAACTTTATATTTAGGACTATTGAGGTGCCGACGTACAAATCATCTCAGGTAATACAATACTATAGCTCAACGACCAACTCAAGAGAAGAGATGCAATATTAGCACACTTGTGCCACTTGACACTGTCCTCGAAAACTCATTTCCAAAGGTAGACCCTAAAACACTCGTATTGCAACACTCGCCTACATAGTAATACACACAAACATGAAATTTTGGTGAGGAGTCATATGTTAATGCAGAGCGTTCACTTCTTTCACTTATACACGCTTAACTCTAGAGTCACTTGTCCAATCTCACGATGAAACTCGAACTTTTGAGATTATGGCCTGAGACTCAACCTGACAACGGCTAAGCATGCCTCTAATACCATTGATGACATTGGTGCGTATTTGCTTGTGCTTTAGCTTCTCTTCAATCACATCATGATATTTATCTTTCTCCGCCCTTATGAGGCACGTCAGGGAGTCACTCATGTATCACTTTCTATTGTTTGTATGTGATGATCACAACTTATTATCTTCTTTGTACGATTGTAACATCTCTACCCCTCCATCTCTTAATGGTATTCTCACTAATTGATTTTCAACTTCAAGTCAATTGTTTCGGGATACACACAACGCTAAAAATGATTTCAAATCATTTCAACACAAGAGGGTTACGTTTTAAACAAAGGGTAATAATTTATAAACGAAACTCGTAACTTACAACCCTTTCAACCTTTCATCAATGTGTCCACCACAACATATTGAAAAGTTCATAGAGCCAATTACAACATGGGTATGAAATTCATGATATAGATTGGGTGTTAGACTACCACCACCCATGTCACTCAAGTGGTGTACCTCTCTCATAATTACTCTCATTGGCTAGAGATGTCACAGAGTAGGACAGGTCCCGTCTTTATCTTCACCACATAATTCAACAGTGTGAAATTATTTTTATTTATTTATTTATTTTTTTGTTAGGATCGAGTTCTCTACAATAATTTTGTCGGTTCATTATTCTTTTTAAATAGTTGTTTTAAAATTTTATTTTTTAATATATTTTTTTTTAATTTACTAATAAATCAATATATTTCAACCCATCTAATTTTTAAAAAATTCAAATTTTAATATTACAAACTACTCTTAGTTTAAATATTACAAATTAAATTCTTAAAATTAATTAATTTTTTTAATATAGCTAAAAATCATATATAAGTTGAAAATATATTCATATTAAACGAGGTAGGGACGAGACGGGGCGAGAAACTGGGTAGGGACATGGACGAGAATATAATCTTGTCCTTGGCCTCATTTATCTAATAAGGAAAAAATGTTCCTCATTTCCCGTCTAAACGAGGAATTCCCTCTCCATTTCGGGCAGGTCCCTTCCAAGATCGCAACCCTACCGGTAAAATAGATATCTCTAATTTATATCATTATATGTGTATACTTCCATTCTTTTGGTCATGAGTATAGGTTAACCCAAATCATAATACGAGTACTAAAATATTATGAATTTTATAACATGTGCATAATCCTAATACTCCTTTTTTATCATCTTTCTATATATATATTGAACTTGTCACAAGAGATGAACTCCTTGTTCTAACACACCATTACGTCGAGATTTCTTCATCTAAACTTGAAACGGAATGAATTTCTAATCTTTCAGGAAAAAAAAAAAACTGTTTGCACAAAACCCGTGAAGAGTAATCCATAATTTGCTGCCTTGGCTGCTAGTTCTTGAGCAGATTTAGACTAAAAATACTGTAGAATTGGATAATTTCATGCCATTTATTGATTCACAGCTCCCAACGCTTCTTTCTCACTCTCATCATTTATTTCTTACCTCTCAAGCCCCGCATGCACATAGCTTTGCCCCTCCTCGCCCCCACTTCTCCCACTTCAACCCTTTTTCTTTAAAATGGGCAGAGATTCACGTGCCCATTCAAACAGAATTTGGTTTTCAAAAGGCCAATAACTGCATTATAATTTAAATTCCTTTGAAATCCGTTGAAGGAGGAAGAGGGGTTTGTTTATTTTTGTGGGTTACGGTGGATTTCTGAAATGGGTCTGTGGGGTTTTGATGGGGTTTTGCTTGTGCTTGGTTTTTTCTGGTTACTGAGCAGCGGCGGCGGCGGCAGAGTTGAGGGTTTTCCTAGTGAAGATCTGGTGCTGCGGCTGCCGGGACAGCCGCCTGTTGGGTTCAAACAGTATGCTGGGTATGTCGATGTGGATGTCAAAAATGGAAGGAGCTTGTTCTACTATTTCGTTGAAGCAGAGCAGCAGCCAGAGATCAAACCTCTCACTCTATGGCTCAATGGAGGTTTCTGATCATTTTATGTTCTTAATTTGTTCAATCGAATCACATTGTGATCCATTTTTTGTTCTTCAAATCATGTAATACTTGTTTTTGTTGACTGTTCATAGATTAGAATCATTGTAAAGAGAATTTGTGGTTGAATCATTTAGGGCCTGGTTGTTCTTCTGTTGGTGGAGGTGCTTTCACAGAGTTGGGTCCTTTTTATCCCACTGGGGATGGAAGAGGCCTTAGGACAAACCCCATGTCTTGGAATAAAGGTATGAGAGATTTCATTATCAATTTAGTTTGAAATTTGAAGCAACTGAGTTTCATTTTGAATCATTTGAAGCTTCAAATCTTCTGTTTGTTGAATCTCCTGCTGGAGTTGGATGGTCATATTCAAACACAAGTTCAGATTATGACTGTGGGGATGCCTCTGCTGGTAAGGGAAATCGTTTACGTCGATGTCGGGTTTAGATGATATAGGATGTTTGGTTCTTAAGTTAAGAAGTTGAGTATAATTATCTGTTTGTCGCAGCCAGGGATATGCATATGTTTATGATGAATTGGTACGAGAAGTTTCCATCGTTCAAAGCTAGAGCATTGTATCTTACAGGCGAAAGTTATGCAGGTTTGTTAAACATGTACGAGATCAAATTGTCTTTTTTGGTGATATGCGAGTTTGGTTGTTGATACGTTAGTGTATAACTTGGTTTCTTGACTCGATTTGCTTGTTGTCATTTTGAGAGATCAGTAGTTCATTCTAGGGTTTGGACAACATCTGCTAGCAGTGGGCTTAGACTATTACAAATGGTATTAGAGCCAGACACCGGGCGGTGTGCCAGTGAGGATGCTGGGTCCCGAATGGAGGTGGATTGTGAGATCCCACATTGGTTGGAGGGGGAAACGAAGCATCTTTATAAGGGTGTGGAAACTTCTCCCTAGCAGACACGTTTTAGAAACCTTGAGGGAGATTAGATGAAATCAGATTCGGATTGAGAATTTCTCTTTCGTAGCTTAGTTTGGAAGAATGTCGGTTAATAGTTTCACGTTTATTGCACAGGGCATTACATACCACAGTTGGCTATTGCTCTGTTGGATCATAATGCAAAGTCCAGTGGTTTCAAGTTCAATATCAAAGGAGTTGCTGTAAGAAGTATAGTAATTTGGTAATATGGTTTGTTTTCTTTATGCTTTTACTTACGGTTCAAATGGGTTTGTCGTTTTAGATCGGGAACCCTCTATTGAAACTCGATAGAGATGTTCCAGCATCGTACGAGTTTTATTGGTCGCATGGAATGATTTCGGATGAAATCGGATTAACCATCATGAACGAATGTGATTTCGAGGATTATACTTTTTCGAGTCCTCACAATGTGACACGTTCGTGCAATGAAGCCATATCCATAGCGAACCACATTGTTGGCAATTACATAAACTATTACGACGTCATCCTCGACGTGTGCTATCCATCTATAGTGGAGCAAGAGCTACGGTTGAAGAAAATGGTATCGACTACATCTTCGTTAACTTTATTCTTCTATTTCGTTCTAGTTGAGTGCCCAAGTTTCGATCTAATCTTTTGCAGGCTACTAAAATAAGCTTGGGGGTCGATGTGTGCATGACCATGGAAAGACGATTCTACTTCAACCTTCCAGAGGTTCAGAAAGCGCTTCATGCTAACCGAACTAAATTACCTTACAGCTGGTCGATGTGCAGTTCGTAAGTGATACTGCGAAATAGTAGCTTTTATAAAAGCAAAACCGATCGATTTCGAATAGAAAAAATACTAATTCTTGGTTAAATAGCAGGAGTTTTGCTCATGTTCAAGCACTATACATTGCTAAATCCATTTCAGGAATCTGACATTTTGTGAGCTTGATTGGCAGTCTAATAAATTACAGTGATACGGATGGTAACATCGACATACTTCCATTGCTCAAACGGATAATCGAAAATCGAATTCCCGTTTGGGTTTTCAGGTAACTTAGTTTCGTATTAGAAAAATAGAAGCAAGAAACAGAGTAGATATCTAGTTGATGTATTAGTTGACCTGATATTCCATTGTAGTGGGGATCAAGATTCTGTCGTACCCTTGTTGGGATCTCGAACGCTCGTCCGTGAACTCGCTCATGATATGAAATTCAAGATCACGGTCCCATACGGGACTTGGTTCCACAAAGGGCAGGTACTTTCTGCATTCTAATTATTTCATCAGTCTTTTGTTCTTCTGAATTTTGGTTCCATCTTAAGCCATGGCTGTTCATGGGCAGGTCGGAGGTTGGGCGATCGAGTATGGAAATCTGTTGACGTTTGCGACAGTAAGAGGCGCAGCTCATATGGTACCTTACGCGCAGCCATCAAGAGCATTGCATCTGTTTAGTTCGTTTATTCGTGGCCGGAGACTGCCTAATTCAACTCGCCCGTCGATTGAAGATTAGATAAGTTTTCTACACAGATTACTCTTACTTCATATGCATCCTGGAAAATGGAAAAGAAGAAAATAAATTAACATTCAAGCCCACAAGTGTGGGGCAATTCATAATATGAATTATCTGATTTGTACCAGTTTCTTCTTATTCATTTCTTTGAAAGTTGGGTTTGAATTAGAATGGAAAAAGATTTGATTCTCTGGATTTCTCAGTTCAATATGTATCGGTTTGAGTGAGATCTCACGTCGATTGGTGAGGAGAATGAAACATTGTTTAAGAGGGTGTGGAAACCTCTTCTTTAACATACGCGTTTTAAAAACCTTGAGGGAATAGTTGAAAGAGAAAAATATTTGTTAGTAAGGATGTGCCAACATGGAGGTTGAGCCTCAAAGGGAGTGGACATGGAACGGTGTGCCAGCAAGAATGTGAGGCACCGAAGGGGAGTGGATTGGGGGAGGGGGCACAACGATTGGAGAAGGGAACGAATGTCACCGAGATCGATGGGCCTCAAAGAGGGATGAATTGTGAAATCTCATATCGATTGAAGATTTGAATGAAAGATTTTTTTATTAAGGTGTAGAAACTTCTCTCTAACAAAAGTGTTTTAAAAACCTTGAGGGGAAGCCCGAAAGGAAAAGTTCAAAGAAGACAATATCTGGTAACGGTGGGCTTAGGCCGTTACAGTTCATGAAAAGTACATTGTGACAAGAAAGTGTAAAATTTTCACTTGCAAAAGTTTAGTAATACCATTTTTTTCACTTGCTGACTCGATCAACTAGGACTACCCAACCTAAACTCCAACAAGGTTGCGTTAAATTTTTAGATAATTGAAAATTTTGGTGTAGTTCGTTGGTTGGAGAGATTTTTTTAGTCAAATCAACGTGACTAACTCAAAAATAGAGTTTAGAATCCAACCCAACCTTAGTTAGGTTGTGAATCTTGTTCGGATCATTTAGGTCACGACTCAGCTAAACCAAAATTGTGATGGGTCAACCACAACCAAAAAAAAAAAAGAAAAAAACCTCTATAATTCAAAAATCAATCTAAATATAAAACTATTTATGTTACAATAAAAAGAAAATTTACAGTCCAAATATACACTCATAGAACGTATCACTGAAACTTACTTAAATTTTCCACAACAGTGATAGAACGTATCACTAAACTTCCTTAAATTTTCCACAACAACTCAACAGTCTACAGAAGCATTTTTATCCGTCATTGTTGTAAACAAATGAATCTAAATCCATTTTTTCTAAGCATTTGCTATTTACAGACTCGTGAATAAGGAATTAATTAGAGACTTATTCTTTCGATGAAGAAGAAAATCTGCATATCATTCAAGTATCAAAGAAGATGACATTGAAAAGAATGTTACCTTAAAAGAGTGACTGTTCTCCATTACCAATTGCACACCGTCTCCAGTTGATAAGTCATTAGTATGGATGACTGACTATTAAATAAGTACTCACCACCTAAGTCCTTGTGTTCGAGTTTGGCTCCTGAATCGTATACGAGCTGCCTCGTACGCTTCTTCCTGGCTCTATCCAGCTATATCCGGGCAACTTTTTCACTCCCTTTGATTTCATTTCCCTCCTTAAAGAGTCGGCTTGTTTCCAATTCTCTGATGCAGCGTATATGCTAGAGAGCAGCACATAGGGTGAAGAACTTTGTGGTTTCAATTCCATAAGTTTCTCAGCGGCACGCCTCCCTCTAACTTCATCTCCATGCTTTCTGCAAGCTCCGAGCAAAGTTGACCAGAGCATCGGATCCGCTTTGCATCCGAGTCTGTTGATGAACTCCTCTGCTTCATTAAGGAAACCCCATCTCCCAAGAATGTCTACCATACATCCCAAATGATCAACTCTCGGCTGTAACCTGTAATGGCTAACCATCACGTCGAAGATCTTTCGGCCTTCGAACACTCTTCCAGCATGGCTACAGGCAGAAAGAACACCAAGGAACGTAACATCATCAGGCATGATAGATTGTTGCTCCATCTCTCTGAAAATTTCAAGTGCTTCTTCTGAATAGCCATTCTTTGCAAGTCCAACTATCATGGAGTTCCAAGAAACAACACTATTTCTACAACACATTTCATGAAAAACTTGAACAGAACTTCCAACATCACCACATTTTGCATACATATCGATAAGGGAACTACAGGTGATTTCATCCATGTTAAAGCCCGTATGGAAGATAAGGGAATGAATCTCTTGACCGTTTTGTAGAGAAGACAATCCAGAGCATGCTCGAAGAACACTCGCAAACGTTGCTTGGTCAGGTAAGATATTCTCGGATCGCATATGTTGATAGAATAGCAAAGCCTTCTCATAGTGATTGTTTTGTGCACATCCTGAAATGAAAGCAGTCCATAAAACTAAACTTTTTGGGTACTGCAACTCAGAGAAGAGTGTTTCCGATTCTGAGAGTCTTTGGGAGCTCAAATACATGCACAAGAGAGATACACACACCATTTCCCTACCTAACAGAAAACCCCTCTTAATAACTTGACAGTGAACTTGCCTTCCTATTTTCAGCAAAGATGCTCCATCACATCCATCTAAAAGCCCAGCAAATGTGACTTCCGTAGGTTTAAGTCCAACCATCTGCATCTCTTGAAATAGATAAATAGCTTCCTCTAAATGGTTCACAGTGTAGCCAGCAATCAGAGCATTTACTGAGACGACACTTCGACACGGCATAGAATAAAAGACACCCCGAGCTGCTGAAAGAACCCCACACTTGACATACATGTCAATGAGGGAACTTCCAGCACAAATGCTTGTATCTAAACCAACTTTAACTAAGAGACAGTGACATTGTTGCCCTGGTTTCAACTCCTGAACATTTGCACAAGCACTCACTATAGTAGCTAAAGACACCTCATCTGGAAGAGCTCCATTGCAAACCATTCTTCGAAACATGAAGAAAGCTTCACCATTATACTCTTCCTGAACATATCCTACAATTATTGCATTCCATGAAACATTGTCATGAATCTTCATCAACTCAAACTGTTTTCTTGCGTCCTTTAAAGCCCCAGATTTAGCATACATGTCTACCAACGCATTTGCAACAAATAGATTAGATACAAACTTGTTCTTGATCATAACATTATGAAGTTGACGACCGAAATCGAGATACTGCAAGGAGGCACATGCACTGAAAATACTAGTGAAGGTAAACTCATCAGGCTGAGGTCCATACCGTTTCATATATGAGAACAAATCCATCACTTCATGAGCAAGCCCGTTCTGCGCAAAACCTGCAAGCATAGCATTCCACAAGACGATATTTCTCTCTTCTAAAGAATTGAACACTTCAGTCGCAGCATCCATTTTTTCACATTTAGCATACATATTCACCAATGCACTTCCTACATACACATTGTCATGTAACCCTTCCTTAATCACCTGAGCATGAACCATTAAGCCATAATTCAGCATCGATAAACTAGCAATTGCACTCAAAACACTTCCTATAGTAGATCTAGTGGCTTTTAGGCCAGTTCTCTTTAATTCAAGAAAAAACGAAATAGCTTCCAATGCAAATCCTCTCTTTGCATGCCCTGAAATCATCACATTCCAAGCTACAATATTAGGATTGGGCAACTGGGCAAACAACTTACGAGCATCACCAAGCCTGTCTAGAGCAACATAAGCATTTATAACAGTTACAAGCGCTATCTGATCAGGTACAAGTCCAACTGTCTGCATTCTATCAAACACCTTGACTGCCTCCTCAGGTAAACCATCTTGAACATACCCAGCAATCAAGGCTGTCCATGAAACAGTATCCATATTAAGTGCCCCATCAAACACCAACCGAGCATCTCTTAAATCATGGCATTTGGCATACATATCAATTAGCCCACCTTGACAAAAAGAACTAAACCCAAACCCCATCTTAAAAACACCACAATGCACTTGTCTACCATAGTTAACATCCAACAACCTAGAACAAGCAGATAAAACCATCGCAAACGTGAACTCATTAGGCCGCACCCCATCATTCCACATAGACACAAAAGATTCAACAACAGTTGCAAATAACCCATGCTTAGAGTACATAGAAAGCACCGAGTTCCAGGCAAATACATCCTTCTTCTCCAGCCGGGAAAATACCTTCTGAGCATAATCCACATTGCCGCATTTGACATAGAGATCAACAATTGCATTGCCTAGTAGCCCATTGAGCCCAACTCCAATCTTCAAACTCTTCGAATGAATGACCTTCGCTGTTCTCAATGCTTGCAGAACTGGTTTAGGCTTTTCATCGAACAGGTTGTGGGGTTTGATTCTCCTGCAGTGCTGCAAGCAAACTTGCAGAAATTTTGAATGGGTATTGTGATCTTCGGATAAAAGTTGGTTCGAAATGCAATCTGGAGTGGAATAGGAGGCGATTCTGGCAACATTGTGTGGATTTAAGAAGGATGGAAGCCGGGAAGAACATGTGAAGGAGTTGAGACGCATCGACTTCATACGGCTTCCACATGACTTGGGTTCAATAAGTCCGCTTCTCTTTCTCTAGGTTTTAAAAAGGCGACATTTCACATTTTTAAATGTGAAATTATTTAATTTTATTTTTAACCTCTATTTTATATAATATATACTTTATTTCAAAAAAAATTTAAAAATACCGTTAGAATTAGTATTGTGTTTAAAAAATATTTTAAAATTTTAAAAAGTAGTATTAATATCGTTTGTTTCATAAAAAAAATAAAATAAAATAAAAAATCTTACCGAACCAAAACATTTTATCGACGTCGCATAGATTATCTCTAATTTTTTTAACATTTTGTTAAAAATTTATGAGTAATTTAAAAATGTGGCACCGATGGTAAAAATATTTTTTAATTTTTTTTGAAGAAGTTTATTTTTGAAGCTTTTAAATTCGAGGGTATTTTTGTAACAATGTTCAAGGTTTAAAATTATTTTTGAAATCTTTTAAAACTTATTTTTTAAACAAAATATTAACGATTTTTAAGTGAGGCCGACAAGAATGAATTGTCTTAAAACTGAAGCTATAGGCTCGAGCATATACGTCGTTTGGTCGTAGGTGATGCAAGAATAATATGATAGCCCTACAACCAAACGACGTATACGTTCGAGCCTCTTAGCTTCAGTTTTAAGACAATTCGTTCTTGCGTCTGGCTTAGCTCACTTGTCATTGAAAAATGAGTGTCGTACGCAAATCCGCTGCCATCAAAAGTGCGATTGTGACAAGTGGTGTCAGAATCTGTCACAAATTTTAAAAATACAATTACATTTTTTTTAATAATTAAAAATAGAAAGATTCCTCAATAATTATTATATGTATTTGTTAGTTTCCTTTTGGAGGTACCCTCCACTCAAATTTGGGTTCGGTTGAATTTTTAAAAAATTAAAAATTTAAATATATTTATAATTTTTTTTGGTAGAACCATTGATAAAAGAAAGAGATGTTGTTTATGAATCACTCACATATTCTTAGGGATATACCGTAGGATTAATTTCTGAATTATACCGTCAAAATTGGACCACAACGGAATTTCGGTCTATACCGACACCATAATATCTGATTGGAGAGGAAGATTAGAATTAGAGATTGATCGAAAAGCAAGGATATGGGCTCGTGTGAGTAGGAAACAAAAAATATCTATTCTAATTCTATCATCAGCTATGGGTTCGAATCTAAGAGAAATTCTCGAGAATGTTTGCTACCCTGAAATTTTTTTGTCTTTCGTGAATGATATGGAGAAATTTGGAATGTGTACACTTGACGATATGAATCATTTGAAAGAGGTTTGGCGGGTAGATAGAGAATACCTAAGGTTTGGTGGGTAGGTAAAGAACACTTAAGGACACGAGACAACTCTCTCTATCAATACCTAAAGGTCTTTATTCCTCTTTATTTCTATTGTTTCTATCTCATCGTATTAAATTCTATCCGATATTTGAGACTAGTGATTTCAAATCTCGAGGTTAAGCATACTCTTAATGTATTCCTTTTCCTCTTTCGAGAATCTCCTCCCCAATTTCATTCCGTCCCAATAAATAGGTGTTTGTTGAAACTCATGTGCAGTTGGAGGTTCCCCCTGTCTCCGGCTTTTAGGAGCAAGCTACCTTACTTCTAGTCAATTAAGGTCTATTTACAACTAGAAAGTGCATCTTGGATTCGTTCAAAGATAAACCCAAAATGTCACCAACTTGTTTTCCTTTTCAAGTTCGGAATACGACGATAATAATAACTTACTATTATTGTTTATTTAATTGCAAGGATTTGATTTAAAAAAGAGTGGTCCATGTAATTTATTATTATTGTTATTGCTATATATATATATATATATATACTATAAATATAAAAAGAAAGGTACAGAAACGATATGAAAAATCAAAGATTAACTTCCTATTTATTTATGTATATTAATAACATCGATGCAATCGCTGGATGAACACGAAGAACACCCAGAAACATAAAACAACGAAAACAAAAAGGAAACGGAGAGAAATCCTCCAGTTTCAGTCATAATCTTTATTCCGAAATGTAAAACTTAACCCAGAATTTGTTAAATCACTCTCCCATGCGAATGATGCATCGAATGGACTCCCCTTTCAGCATGTAATCAAACGCCTTGTTGATCTCAGAGAACGGCACTGAATGAGTTATGAACTTGTCCAATTCCATCTCCTAATCAAGAGCAAACAATAAAAAAAGGCCTCAGAAATCAAATTCCTTCAATGGGGTTTGAACATTTTGAGGATTTTTCATTACCTTATTCATGTACTTCTCGACGACCCCGGGAATGTCGGATCGAGGCTTGTAGTTGCCGAAGAACGTACCCTTCAGAGTTCTTTCGTTGAGGAAATTCATAGGATGAGTTTTGAATGCGTCGTCTTTGTTTGGGACTCCCACTAGTACTGCAACACCCCACCCCTGTTTATCAAAACAAAATCAATAATCAGTGTTAGTCGTTTAGAATCACTTAGAATGTCATTCCAAATCAACGCTTAATTACATCGTGAACACATTCGAATGCGGAGATCATTGCTTGGATGCTTCCAGTGCATTCGACACTTCGGTCGACTCCTCCATTCGTCATCTCGGCAATCACCTCTTGAACTGGCTTGCTGTGATCCTTTGGGTTAACAAATTCATTGCAACCAAATTTCTTTGCTGCAGAGATCAAACAAAACAATACATTAGAATCCAAAGACAAGAAAGTTTTCATTATGTAATTTGAATGTACCTTCTTCGAATCGAGCCGGGTTCAAATCAACACCAATGATCTTAGATGCCCCGGAAATTCTTGCCCCTTCAGCAGCCTAAGATTGAAAAACAGTGTCATTATGGTGATAATAGAAACTAGAATCTGCGAGTGAAGAACGGATTTAAACTTACAGCAAGCCCAACAGCTCCAAGGCCAAAGATAGCAACAGATTGACCCTTTTTAGGCTTTGCAACATTCACGGTGGCACCAAAGCCTTCATTCACAATCACAAACAAATTCATTCAATATCAACTTTTGAAAACAAGAATCTACCGAACATTATACAAAGAAAAGTTCAAAACCTGTGGAAATTCCGCAGCTAAGAACGCAGACTTTGTCAAGAGGAGCAGCAGGATTGATCTTAGCCAAACAGCCAAAATGAATAACAGTGTATTCACTAAAAGTGGAGGTTCCAACGAAATGATGAATTGGCTGTCCATTTTTGGAGAATCTGGTCTTGCCATCACTGATCATAACACCACGATCAGTGTTGATTCGAAGAAGATCGCACATATTGCTCTCTTCTGATTTACAATGACGACAATCCCCACATTCACCAGTGAAAACAGGAAGAACATGATCTCCTGGTTGAAGATCTTTCACGCCTTCTCCAACACTCTCAACAATACTAATCAAACAGATACAAAAACCAAAAATCAATATCACAACAAAATGATTCAGAATCAGAATCAGAACAATCAATCCACTACTTACCCTCCAGCTTCATGCCCAAAAATGCGAGGAAACAATGGAGTTTGGCCCTACAAGACGCAAACAAAATCAAAAACCTAATCGGTGTGATACATTCGTTCATCATTGATTACAAATATACCTTCGCTTCCCAGAAATAAACATCGGTGTGACAAAGAGATGTGAAAACGATCTTGACTCGGACTTCATTGGCTTGCGGCGGCGCCACTTCCACTTCCTCAATCACTAGTGGCTTTCCAGCCTCCCAAGCCACAGCAGCTACAACAAAACAAAGATCCAAACATCCAAACCAATTCAAAACTCAAACACGAATCCCTAAACTTGAACTGTATTGATCGAATCCCAATTTCCGTACCAAATTTCACGAATACCGAAATGAAATGTTACTATTACCTTTGCATTTAATGACCTGACCGGCAGTGCTAGACATTGTTGATTATGGTAGAAGAGAGATCTGTAGAAACAATGGTTTGATGAACTGAAAAGGATTTGATGTGAATGGTGATGTGAAATGAAGAACTGAGGGAGAGTATTTATAGTGATTAATTTTTTTGGTTTTGGATTTTCGCAACATATAAACCGTGGTTTTCGGCGGTAATACCATTTCCGGTAATACTATTTCCTGGCTTTCTGGGTGCGCCTCAGGTTCTTAGGTGTGCCACGTGGCGTATTTGAAAAGCTAAGGCGACCATTATCCATCAACTAAAACCCAACTTGCCCGCCTCGCCACTATTTAATTTTAATTACCAAAATAATTATTTTTTAACTTAAAATTATAAATTACTAATTTAATTTCCGTTATTATAATTTTTAAATCTTAAATGTAAATGGTTAATATATTCAAATAAAAAAACATATATTTTTTTATATAAATGGTAGGATTTTTAATGATAAGGTAATAATTTGATTTTAATTATTATATTTTTAGATTAAAGTAATAAAAATAATTTATTTTCTTAAAAATATTTTTCTATTTTCAACGTTCCAATAATACCCTTGAACTTAATTTTCAATAAAATTTAAAAACAATTTTACGCGTTAATTTAAATGTAAATTGTTAATATTTTTGTTCGAAAAATATGCTTGTCTTTTAAATCACGTGAATGTGAGTTTGCCGTAGATATTTGACATGAGGATAGAAGGTCTATTCGGAATGGGACAATTGAGGAAGGAACGAAGAAATTGAATACCTTTTGAAAGCTATATATACACTCATTTTCAACCCAATTGGACATTCATTTGATTTATATATATATATATATAGCCACTTGCCGCCGAGGGGTCGAGTATGAGGATAATACGGTCAAAATCTTTATGTTGGATAAACTCACCTAACCGTTTGTTCCACTTTTAAATTTATGTTTATTAGAAATAAAAAATTTAATAAACAACCTGAACTAACATATTATGTTGTGTCTAAACGATGTTTCAATCTGACTGAATTCGATCAACGGACATATTGTAATAAACAATTTGAATTTTATATCTAAAAAGTTTTTTTTTTTAAATAAATTTTTAATTTTTAAAATAAAATTTAATTAAATATTTAATAGATCCAAAAAAGAAAAGAAATACAAATTTAAGGGCTAAAATTATAAATAAGCCTCATAAATTGGAGTATTGTATGAGCATTGGTTGGAAATTAATATATAATAAATTTAATGAAAATGTGAATATTATTTCTTTAATTAAATGTTGAAACGAGAAATTGTGAAATTAGAAATAAAAATATATCGATGTTAATATAATTCTGAATTGAAATAAAATACTTAATAGTAAATTTTAATTTTAAGAGAGTGTATTTGTATTTTTATTTCATAATTACATTAATTTTATTGCGATAAATAATAACTAATTAAAACAAAATTAATGATAAATAATAACCTATTTATTTATTTATTTATTTTAATTATATAATTGATATTAGCTACTAACAACTAACTAAAATGAAATATAAGTTCTCGTATATTATAATAAAATCATACCTAACTTAAAAAATTATAATAGTTTTTATTAGAAGAAAAATTATTAATGAAAAATATAATTTTTTTTATATGTTATGCAAAATCATATATTTAAAAAAATTAAATGATAAACAATGTATTGCTAAAATTTAATATTAATATTTTATCTAGTAAAAAGAAAATTACATATACCAAAAAATAATAATAATAATATTTATTGATATTATAAATATTATTAGAGTAAAATTGAAAATAATAATAATAATATAAAGGTTGTGGGTCTTATCATGAAAAAAAAAAGCCATTAATGATGTGTTTAGTAATAATGATTCTCATATTCGGTGGTTCTCGACGTCACTCGTCATCTACCTTTAATTTAATATATTATTATGTTTTAATCGTTGAACTATGTTCGAATTGGTCAAATCTATAGATTTGATTTTGTAAATTTTTATTTTCTTCGATTTTGTAGATAGGACTCGAATCTTTGAATTGCAGTATTGGTCGAGAGAAAAGTTGAATATTTGTCGTGTATGCTAGTGAGATTGAACTATTTAAGTGAATATGATTACACATCGATTCAGCACGTACGTTCATATATGACTGCAATTTCAATAGTAGACATAAAACTTCACGATTTAACGATGATTATGTGTGTAAAATGTTGTTTATTAAGAGATTAACCTATAGTCAAGGCTGATTAGTTTATTACATATTTCTTGCTTTAAATAGGTCGACCATGATTTTGTGTGCCTTATTCACTAAACTATGTTTGTATTGGTCGAATTTATAGATTTCGTTTAATTTGAGTGAGCTTATGGAAGAAGTCAAAATAATTTATTTATTTTAAAAAATATACATCGAAATTAATATATTTATAAAATTGAAATATAGATATTAAACATTGATATTTTAATCTTATGCAAGAACTAATTAATTTATATTATTTAGCACTCATTCCGGCTAAGTTGAGATGGCCGAGTTGGTCTAAGGCGCCAGATTAAGGTTCTGGTCCGAAAGGGCGTGGGTTCAAATCCCACTCTCAACAATTAGTTTTTTTATTTTTTTTTATTTTTTTTTTATTTTTTTTTATTTTTATGGTGACAAAGTTGAGATCGCTGCCTTAGTCTAAGGCACTAGATTAAAGTTCTGGTCTAAAAGGGCGTGTGTTCAAATCCCACTTTTAACAATATTATCTTTAATTTTTACTTTTGTTTAGCCGAAAATGGCAGGAAGCGCTGACCGGTCAAAAGCCACATCCTCCACAGACTATGATCGTCTTTTTTTCTTTTTTTTTTTAATGAAAAATATAATAAAAACATTTTGAAATATGTTTTTCAAATAATAAATATAAACAAACCTTCCTCTCCATGAAATTTTTGTTTAATACCGTATACAATCGGATATAATTATATATGAAGAATATTATTGGACTACATAGAGTGTCAGTATCAACAATGTCGATTTGGGACTCACACTTCACATCCAATATCTAGCAGTTGAGACTGCAAGTTGTACCTCATAGAATTGACCTATAGTAATAGTTTTCAAGCAATCGTTGACATGGTACTGTTCAAGGCTCTATATGGATAACGATGCAAGTCTCTAGTGATGGATAACGATGCAAGTCTCTAGTGCATTGGGACAACGTGGGTGAACACGAGCTGTTAAGATTAAAGTTAGTTTAAACTACCAATGAGGTTGTGTAGAAAATCAAGAGGAGGATGCGTGCAACTAAGAGTAGACAGAAAAGTTACGCCGATATAAGTCATAGGAACCTAGAGTTTGAAGTAGGTGACAATGTATTATTGAAGGTGGTGCCTATGAAAGGTGTATTGAGGTTCAAGTATAAAGACAGATTAAGATCACGCTTCCTAGAGACCTTTGAAATTTTGGATTGAACTAAACCAATGACGTATCAATTGAGCCTGCCACCATACATAACGTGTTTCACATGTCTATGCTTTGTAAGTACATAATCGATCATACCCATGTGATAGATTGTACCTTTGCAGTTAGATGATAGTATGAGTTATGAGAAAAAACATGTATAGATTTTAGCCCTAGAAATAACGACCCCACTAAGATATATAGTTCAACGAGGTACTTTGGCAAAACCATAAGTCAAAAAAGGTGGCATGGGAACGTGAGGACGAAATGATTGAGAAGAATCTCGAGCTATTCCAAGGCTAAGGTACTTTCAAGGACGAAAGTTCTTTTTAAATGTGTATATTGTTATAGCCAAAACAAATATACACGCACCTACACCATCGCATTTTCTCTACTTTTTCCATTTAATTTCTTAAACCAAGTTCTAAAACCAGACCTTAAGCAGTAGGACCAAACACATAGAAAATTTAATGACTTTAACTTAGGCCAACACATAAGTGGTTTTATTATTAGATGCACATGGACTTGGATGGATGACTTATGTCCCGTAGGAATGACACATACCTTGTGGTACATATACACGTCATATTTTTATGATGTTATGGTGTGTTATGTGTTGAATTACATTATAATATGAATGTTATATGATACATGTACTTTCATACGCCACGTCGTGTATATTATGGTAGCATGTCCACAATATGCTTATGAGACATTCATAAGTCATGTATGTTAACCGTGAAAGATATATCGAGTATATGTATGCATATAGTTCTTGGTGAAATCGAACGATCAAACCTTCGCTTCTTAATCCAGTTTAGACTTCTAAGCCAATGTCGTTCCAATCCCTAGGTTGAACGAATCTTCGTTTTTCTTTCTTTTTGTCAAAACCCTAACTTCGTTCTTTCTTCCTTTCTTTTATTTTTTTTTTTGCAAGTGATTGGTCTAAGTGCTACAACATATCCGTGAGGGGAAAAATGACCCTCGGTAAGTTTGACCGACATTTTTTTCTACTATTTTATTTTTTTAGGTTCTTGACACTTTGATATGAACCACGACCAAGGAATTTCCATACCTCAAGGTCCATTTACAAGGACGAGAGCTAAGAAGCTACAACAAACCTTATACATTTATATTCAAGCTATGGTGAGCTCATCAAAGGGAATTCTAGAAGACGTTGGAGACCTCTCTTATATGTTATGCAAAGTTGAGCTTCAAGAAAGAGATGAATTAAATGCACTTTAAGTTACATTTAATAAACTCCGCTGAATTTATGAAACTAGTCAAAGGATGACTAATAAGCACATTTTATTAATTACATTATTTAATTATAGTTTAACTATTTGTTTCTAATATTTTAATATGGAGGTTATGGGTATTTCTCATTTACTAGTTCATTTAATTTGAGAGTCATGTATCATATAGGTTAAGATTGTAAATGCTATATAAAACTCTTTTCTTTGATTAGACATCAGATTTTGGAATTAAAAATAGAATTTCTATTTTAGCTTTGTTGAGAGCTAAATTTTTCTTTGCAAATTCTTGTATTTAGAACTTGCATGTAGAGTCATTCAAGTGGTATTGATCAAACCTCTTGTGGAGTAATTCGAATCCCGAGTTTAAAAACAAGTTTTCTTTACTCTTGATCTTGATCATTAAAGATAATCCGTTCCATACTTTCCCTTGGGTTGATTTCCATATCACACTTTCACGAGTATTTTTCTCTTCTAACGTAATAATATTTTATCCAATGTTACATATTGGTAGGCAATAATATTATTTTATAGCCATTAATTTAATAAAATTACATTATTCTCATCTTTAGCAACAGGTTGAGATGGCCGAGTTGGTCTAAGGCGCCAGATTAAGGTTCTGGTCCGAAAGGGCGTGGGTTCAAATCCCACTCTCAACATCTACTTTCTCGTATTTTAGCTTAGCCGAGTATTGAGGGATTAAAAAAGATCTGTTTTGTAATTTAATCAATTCCAGCAACAACGTTGAGATGGCCGAGTTGGTCTAAGGCGCCAGATTAAGGTTCTGGTCCGAAAGGGCGTGGGTTCAAATCCCACTCTCAACATCTACTTTCTCGTATTTTAGCTTAGCCGAGTATTGAGGGGTTAAAAAAGATCTGTTTTGTAATTTAATCAATTCCAGCAACAACGTTGAGATGGCCGAGTTGGTCTAAGGCGCCAGATTAAGGTTCTGGTCCGAAAGGGCGTGGGTTCAAATCCCACTCTCAACATCTATTTTCTCGTTTTTTTGCTTAGCCGATTATTGCGGGAAGCGCTGACCGGTCCAAAGCCATCACCTCCGCATATTGTGACCGTTTGGAAGCATTCGGAAAAATCCATTTTCTATTTTAAATACTAAATGACAATTTTTTTATTAATAATAATAAAAATAAAAATAATAAATGTTATGAATTTATTAGAATCTTTTAAGGTAAATGACATCAGTTCAAAAGTTTAGCCATTAATCTTGTAATTTAATCAACATATGTAATCTAAAAGAGAATGCACAACTATGTAGAGAAGCGTAGAATAGTTATAAGTATGCAAATGGGACGCAATTGTTCCTGTGGATATAATTACGTATTGAATCAGCAGATTCATTCATGTAGGAGTACGAGTTAGATAGTAGATGTAAAACATCATGGTTTAATAATCAAGACCGACCAATTTTATAAATACTTCCCTTGATAATAAGAAAAGAAAGATTTTAAACAACGTGCTATTCCAATAGTCTAGCTACCCTTAACCGACATTACATGTTTTCTATGAGATGTGATTATTGAGGTGGTTACATACCGAACTGGTTCATCATTTTGAGTCAACAATTAATCCCTAAGCTAATATGTCAATTTCGTGCTGGTACATAAACGAGAGTCCTAGAAGACTTTACCCCCAACGGATGGAAATTAATACTCAGTTAGTGGACTTGTGATATGAACCAAGAGACATCAATCATACGATATACTTCAATGAAGATGTGAAGAAAATATTGTTGAAATTATCCAAAGATATTTTAATTCATGCCACATTGAAGAAGAATGAAGTTTCATGTTATAAATTTTTGGTGGATTACAATTTAGAGTTATTGTATTTCATTAATGTATTTTAAGACTTTATTTACTTTGGGTTACAATTAAGTATGAATGTTACAACTTTTGGAATGCCTCTAATAGTTTAATTTTGAGGCTATATAAAGTCATGTATGTTGTATTTGTAAGTAGACTTGGAAAATACAGTAGAATGAGCATTTGTGCTTTCTTTAGCCAATGACTATGTTTCTTTGCAATTCTATGTAGTTTAGGTTGCATGTAGAATCATTCAAGCTCGACATGATCAATCTTGCTTGTGGAGTGATTCGAATCTCAAGCAAGTGTTCTTTCCTTGAGATATTTGATCAACTAGAATCATTCAAGCTAGACACAATCAATCTTGCTTGTGGAGTGATTCGAATCTCAAATAATGTTCCTGCCTTGAGATATTCGATCAACAAGGTAATCCGAATCTTACTCCCCTTGTAGTGATTCCTTATCATATCAACTTGAGTCTCACTTGTCATAACGTATCATAAAATTGTATGGTTAACCGTTACACTCTCAATATCCGTATATCATTTGCACACATGCACGATATCCCCAATTGATTATCTATAATATACAACATATATGCTTGAATCACAATAAATCATACATATCAACTGAACCCTAAGAATCATTAGACCTAAACATGTAACATGATTTAGGACATTTATAAAGGGTTGTGAACTCTCACCAAAAAGGATTTTGAGATCCTAGAGTTTATTGTAAAATTAGCCAATTGTTTCTTGATTCATTCGAGCTTTGTTTTGACTTTGTGGATCCCGAATCCAAATGTAATGATATCTCTACAAAATTCTCGTCATTTATTTGTTTTGGTGTGCTTCAATCAAAAGTAAAAACCAACATATGATATCAGAGTTAGGATGTCGAAATAAATGTCGCCGCCACAAAAGATCGTCAGAGGAGATGTGACAATGATAAAAAGTGGAAAGAAGGGGAGTGTAACGCTCTAGTACCCGTTACTCACTAATAGTAACTACATAACATAGTCGATAAAGATGAGTGTCAATTTATAGATACAAGGTGTGTGGGACGTTATTGATCATAATAATGATGTTGAGGAGCGTAAGGATAAGATGAATCTTGTTGCTATCTACCAAGCAGTCCCAACATCCTTCTCATGTTGGCAGAGAAAGACTGGGTAAAGAAAGTGTGGGAGACGCGGCAAACAATGAATATAGGAGTGGAACAAGTCAAAGAAGCAAAAGTGCAGACCTTGAAGAGAGATTTCGAGGCTATCTGCTTGAAAGAGTTGGTGGAAGACTTTACCATAAAATTAACGACCATCTTTACCGACATCCGTTTGTTAGGCGACTAGGTGGAGGAGATCGATGTGGTTAAGAAGTTATTTTGAGCTATGCTCCCAAGATTCATGCATATCGTTAGCTCCATCGAGCATTTTGGGGCTACGACGACAAAGAGGAGGAGAAGAAGAACTCACACACGAGGAGTTACACGCACGGATGAAAAAGAAAGATACGACTAATTTTTCTTTTTCAGGTACGAAGGGATGCGGTGGCCATAATAAGGAACACAAAAATTGTGATCGCAGACATGACGGTAGAGGAGACCATGACATTATCTCACAAACCCATGATGATGCCAACTATCGATAGACAAGAGCATGATCTAAGTGCTACTTTTGTGTAAAATATGAGTGTGATGTAGAGAAGTACCACAACAAAAGGTGAAATTGGTGAAATGTCAACGATAACAAACAAACTGTTGTGAAGTTCGTTGCTCTAGATGACAAGGGAGACGCAAAAAACCTAAAAAAGTATGCCGATATTGACACCAACTAATCCACACATATCATCACCAGTGACACTGAAGGATGTGACGAGTTCTCTGAAACAAGGTAGCTCAAGTGAGAGCAAATGTAGATTGCAAGAGATAGTGGACCATAGGATGACATACTATGTCAACAAAAATTTGATCTCTTGGCCATCTCAAGAAGTAGCAAACTGTGTCACTCTTTTCCTATGAGGCTGAGTTCATGGTAGCAAACTGCACTATCGTGCCAAACATTGCGTCTAAGAAATTTGTTGAGCGAAATGATTAGAAGTGAGCTAAAATTTGTAACTCTTTGTGTCGACAACAAATATGTAATTGCATTGATGAAGAATCCGATATTTCGTGGATGCATCAAATACATCAACACTCACTTCCACTTCATCTGTAAGCGTTTCGAGAAGTGACAGATCAATGATGGAAAGAAGAGACGATGATGTTTTCGAATCAATGAGAATGAGAAAGAGAGAGAGAGAGAGGAGAGTATCAATAGAGAATGTATGGAGTTGGCAAAGACGACGCAAGGGAGAAATGCTACGTTATGCATAATATTATATTTTAACAAACTAATATTTAAATATTAACTTAAACAAACAATACAAAGGTTGAGATGGCCGAGTTGGTCTAAGGCGCCAGATTAAGGTTCTGGTCCGAAAGGGCGTGGGTTCAAATCCCACTCTCAACAATCATTTTTTTTATTTTTTTGCTTAGCTGAATATGGCGGGAAGTACCAGAAAATCTTTTTTGAGAATCCATCTACAGTGAAAAAGTAGAGATGGCCGAATTGGTCTAAGGCGCTAAATTAAGGTTCCCGCCCGAAAGGCGTGGGTTCAAATCCCACTCTCAACATCTTTCCGTTTTTTTTTTTTGGTCAAAAGGCATTATCAATTTTCTAATTTAAATAGTAAATGATATTTTTAATTTGGTTTCTTTTTAAGTTTAAATTATATTATTCAAATTTTAAATTAAGGCATTGTTTGATATTAAAAACGATTTATTAGATATAGATATAAAACGTAACTCTTAGAGATGAGGTGACGATTGAACGAATAATTGAACAATGAAGTGACGGGTTGAACGAATAATTGAAGATGTTTCATTTAAGGGTGTTTATGAGTTGAAATATTTTTTAGACCGTACCCAAATGTTCGATCCATTGGAAGAACAACTTATTGACAAGTTTTAAACCCAATTTAAAAGATCCCCAAATAAATTCCCAAACTTTTAGGTCTGAATTCTAAGATCTGGTTTTGAATAAGAGTTGTGAAACAAGTATTAAATCATACAATTTGTTACCTCCATGTTGAAGTAATAATCAAGCTTTTCTCTTCCCATCCAAAATGAACTGTGCCCATTTCTTCATACATCTTGAATCTCTCGCAATACTCCCCGATAAGATTTCGAATCGGGTCGGTCACGTTTTGGCTCATCGTACAGGAACTGAACCCAGCCATCGTCATTCTTGCCCGCCATTTCCCGGCGACTTCGTATCTCTCCACTCTGTCCTCGCCTTCACAAGCTACGATGTTGACTATGTCCTTGGCCAAGCATTGCCTCTCTACATTGATTCGGTCTTGACTATCTCTCGGGAGTGTCGCATCGAGAGTGTTGTAGACAGCTGCAAAGTAGTTATAGGTTTCGACGAATCTCGAAAAGAATGGGGTGGTGTTTGTGTTCATGTCCTGTTCGACGACTGTTACTAGTTTCGGGTTTAAGTTCTTAACCATTCGGAGAAGCTTGTCTCGTAGATTTACGGTTGAGACACTTTCATCTGGCATGTGGTGAAGCAGGAAAGCGAAGTTGACTATGACTGCTTCTCCGTGGCGGGAGGCGAGCATCGAGGGAGTGACATCAGAAGTGTTCGAGGCAATTGCTTGAAATTCAAATGGAACTCGTAACGCTTTTGCCAGTTGTTCGAGTCTTTGTCCAATGTGTTTAAGACCTCCGACGGGGCGATGGACTGATTCGGGATCATCGACCCCTGTTAACCTCAAGTGTGGTGGCTTCCCTGGCTGAGTTGCTAGCATCTGAATCAAATTTATGTACTGAGTTCCTTGGCTTACATCGAAATCGATTATGTGAATTCTCTTCTCATCTTTCGCCGCCTCGATAATGGCACAATTTGCAGCCATAAAGCCGAATTTGAAACAAGGGCAGACCTCGAAAAGGATCTGCATAGCTGCGAGACGGTCCGAAGAAGGCGGTTCTTTGCATCTCAAAGCTTTATAAAGATATTTTCCTGATGCTAACAACCGAGCAGCAAGACCTTCCACCATATACGCAGCGATCCTCTGCGAGGGATCGCCCTGAACCGAGACCATACCTCGGAGCTGTTCAATCATGGCTGACGCTTCGTCAAAGTTGTCTTCCGAGATGGCAAAAGCACATTCTAAAAGCATTTCTCTAGGATTCTGTGAAGACATCTGAGATGCATCCTTGTTGCTGCCAGTGGTACTGAAATTAGAATCTGTCGACGAGGATTCGTTTGGCGAGTCATGTAGCAGTGCATCTTTAATCGAATTCGCCCACTCGCTATCGATTTCCATGGCTTGACCATTTACAAGCATCTCGACACCATAATCAGCAGCATCAGGTTCACCCAACAGGTCCCTCTCCAATTCTTGCAACTTCAGTCTCACTTGATCATCCTCAAAATCCAGCTGTTCTGGACTTGTACTCTCAAGGCAAGCTGAATCTGAATCACACGTTCGCCCATACGAAGTAGCGTTCGGGTGAAAAGAATTGTTCGAAATGCCCGAAACGCCAGAAATCGATAGCTCTTCGATCGGGAAGTCAAGGAAATACTTCTCATAGCTCTCACTCCTATGCATTTCAGAGCCAAATCTTTGAGCAGACAAGTCAGGAGCATTCTTGGTTCCTTTCAACGAGTACAGCTTGCGACTTCCGTATGATAACGGAGATGGATCAGATGGCCTGACTAACGACATTGTTTTCTTCGTCCTAACTACGCTTTTTCAGGAAGATCAAATTTACACCATATAGATTGGAAGCTCTGAAAACACAAAACATGTATCCATAAATCATAGCTCACTAACAAACAACAAATCGAACTAAACTATCGACCATTCGACCCGAATTCTCAATCATTTCGTTATGAACTTGTAGCACAAAAGACAGGATCATATCAGTCAACTAATTATACAGAATCAGAGCAAAGATTTCAAAGAACATAACAAAGCTGGGTGTGAGATCCCACGACGGTTGGGGAGAAGAATGAAACACCTTTTATAAGGTGTGAAAGCCTCTCCCTACCAGACGCGTTTTAAAAACCTCAAGGGCAAGTCCAAAAGGGAAAGCCCAAAGAGGACAATACTTGCTAGCTGTGGGCTTGAGCTGTTACAAATTATATTAGAGCCAAACACCCAACAATGTACCAGTGAGGAGGCTGAACCCCAAAGGGGTGGACATGAGACGGTGTGCCAACAAGGACGCTAGGCCCCAAAAGGATGTGGATTGTTCCTACATCGATTGAAGAAGGGAACAAGTGCCACCAAGGACGCTTAGCCCTGAAAGGCGTGAATTGTGAGATCCCACATCGGTTGGGAAGAAAAACGAAAACCTCTCCCTAGCATACGCGTTTTAAAAACTTGAGGAAGTCCGAAACGGAAAGCCCAATATCTACTCTTATCTTTCCTTTGAAGCAATGTCAAAACAAAGCCAAATTGAAGTAGAAAAAATCCGATTCACACAACAAAGTTATCATTCTATGACTCAAAGCACGATGAACAATGAAGAAGCTAGAGCAATTTGGTTAAGCGATAGCTATTAATTCAGATAACAAATAAGATTACTTCACAATTAGCCCATAAGTTCATGCAGTAATCCCTAATCAGAATCGTAAAACAAACAAGATCTTGAGCATAAAAACAAACAGTTCTAAGAATATGAAAAACCAATGAATCTAAGACAAGTACCTGAAACAGGGCGCTCCTCAAAGCACTTGAAACCACTCAAAATCAACAAAATCAACCTCAAATCCGACCTAAAACGAAGTAAAAAGTCTAAATCGAGAGAACCCACAAGTCAAAACGAAATTCCCAAGAACAAAATCCACGAACAGAACGAAAACACTAAGACGAAATCAACGAACAGAATCAGACAAAAGGAAACCCAAGAACAAAATCCACAGAGAAAAAGGGGGAGACGATCTTCTGGAATTCAAAAGCGGAAGAAAAGTAGATGAACTCACCTTCATATATGAAATTAAGAAGGGAATTTTCCTGGGTCGGTTCAATTGGGATATTTAGTTTGGGGGTTTTTGGAAGCATTGGTTTGGGCCTATTCCAATTTTTGTCCCACTAAAAACAAATGATTGAAAATATCATATCACGCCTACATAATGCTGACGGCCGCACCGTGGATGGATTGTGCCTTGTTTTTGGAAGTATATATAAACTTATTGTATATGATACCTACACTCACATGTCTCCATATATATAATTTGGATCAAATCATTTGTAGCAATTACAAAGTGATCTATTACCGAGATAAGACAAGTAACATTATCCATAGGCTTCCCTCAAGGCTTTAAAACGCGTCTACTAAGTGAAAGTTTCCACACCCTTTTAAATGTGGGACATCATAGACAACAACATACTATTCAAAATTACACTTTTAACCTTAGATTTTTTCATAAAATTATCAAAATCATTACCAACTATCAAAGAATAAATAATTAACTATAAGATTTTAGCGAAGATGAGTGCGAGCGAAGATGTTGGGTCTTGAATAGGGATGAATTATGAGATTGCACATCGATTGAAGAGAGAAACGAGTGTTAGTGAGAACGCTGGCCCTAAGAATGTGAAAACCTGTCCGTAGTAGACACGTTTTAAAAACTTTAAAGAGAAGTCCGAAAGGGAAAATTCAAAGAAGACAATATCTACGAGTGGTGGACTTAAACTATACGTACTATGGATATATGACGCTCACGAGATCGAGATCGAGATCGAGATCGAAGAAAAAGAGAGAATGAAAGGAAATAAAAGGTGGTGGAAATGAAGTGAAATGGAGTATTGAATTATGGGCAGTCCAACCAAGTCAATGTTTTCGGACACTCCATCTTTTACCACTTTATTTTCAAAGACGTGTGTTCCTAAAAAGACCAAAAACACCTTTGAACATGTCAATAATATACATGTGCTTAGTGCGCCCATTCATTACACATCGGATCGAACAAATTAAGTAGGACAATGCGCATGTGATGTCCCACATCGGCTGGAGAGGAGAACAATTTCCCACCTCTAGTAGACGCGTTTTAAAGCTTTGAAGAGAAATTTGAAAGACAAAACCCAAAAAAGACAATATCTACTAGAAGTGGATCTGGAGCGTTACAACAAATCTATATAACTCGATAATAGCAAACTTATGCTTTTTATGTATGCGTAAAATTTTTATACTAATAAAATACCTATTAAATTTTAAAAGTAATATTAACCTCTTTAATCTTTGTAACGGTATTAATGTTATTTTTAAAAGTTCATGACTATATTTTCGGACGATTTTGAAAATTTAAATATATTTTTAAAAACAAATATTAACGGGATTTTTTTTAGTCTAATAGTAATTTTTTTTAAAGATTTTTTTTAATTAAAGTAAACCAAACGAATTACTATCGTGTGAAATATGTAACATTCTTTAGCGAATATTTGTAGTTTGAATGTTCCTCCACGTCATACCAAGGATAGATATCACTCACTATCAGATGGGGAATAGGAGCTAATATCACAATCGTGCTCTTGCGACACTAGAACAACGATTTTGCTACACTTATTTTAACCCAATGAATTACTATCGTGTGAAATCCAGCCTTTGTGGACAATATTAGCTTATGCTCGAGTCTCGGGTCACATTTGAGAGAAATGTTTTAGAAAAGTTGAGTAAGGAAATATGTTGAAAACAATTTTAAAGAAAATTATGTTATAAGCTAAAAACGAGTAAGCGACAACGTTTTTGATAGCATGTAAGCTGATTAGGAATAATTGACAACTATTCATATCCCGTATAACACATTTTAGGACATTTTAGCCCTACGCGGGTGTAGATATGTTTGGTGACCGACCATACTGTAACAACCTAAGCTCACCACTAGCAAATATTGTCATCTTTGAACTTTCTCTATTGGGTTTCACCTCAATGTTTTCAAAACACGTGTGTTAGGAAAAGGTTTCCACACCCCGATGTGGGATCTTACAATCCACCCCTTTTCCAGACCCAGCATAGTCGTTCCTCTTTCCAATCGATATGAGAGATCTCACACATACACTCACGTATTGACACAACAATATTAGTAAATGTCAAATCTAACATGAAAGCAAGTAAAATGAGTTTGAAACGGGCATGCGACCATGGACAACACGTCTTGGACAAGCATGACTAAGACATCCGACATGTGGCTACAAGAAACATGCCTTGGACAAGCATGACCGTAACACTATAATTTCGTAAATTAGTTTTAGGGTTTTCCACAATCCTCTACAAACAACTAGTTAGTTTTTTCTCGACAAGTCACACAGTAAAAAATTATGGTAAACTAATTCACGAGTTATCAAATTTAGATCATGTTGTGTCGTTAGGATACTTTAGTGAGGACTTACACTCATAACTTTATCGACGAAACCATATAAACCATGTGAAGGTCATATCCTCATCATGGCTTGACTTGTACTCATCCTTTAACATATTTGACCTTAAAGCCTTCATACGGTTGGGTGGAGGCCATGGTTAATTTTAAAATATACATTTTTGCGCATATATTTATTATGTTTTTATTTAATTTTATAATTACTCTTTTTTATTATTTATTCTCCAATTAACTCTTTAAAATAATTTTAACTACTTGAACGGAAATTTTCTAAAATATATATCGGAGGTAAATATCAAATTTTAATTAAATGTCGGAAAATAATTAAATAAATAAATAAATATTTTACGAACTACTATTTTACTTTTCTTAAAAATAAAATTTGAATAAATGACCTAAATCAATTGAAAAAATTTACAATCCGAACAATTAGGCTGAATGTAAATAAATGTTCCGACCAACTCACCTAACCTACAAATGTCCCTCGTTAAAGAGAATGAGGGACATATTTCACCGTGGTTAATTAAATATTTAAATTATATGCTAAATTAAGACGATACCTCCGTTATTATGTAAATATAAACTAAATTGTTCTTGAATTAAGATTAAGATAAGATTAGACCTATATATATATATATATATATATATTTTGAAATGGTAAGCATAATGGTTAAAGTCCCTATTTTAATTGGGTTTTTCAACCCTAACATAATTAGGATTCATTTCCCATTAGTATTTAGAGGGTCAAAATGGCAATCTATACAAACTTGGACAAAACTTACACCCATCATTGTTATGCTCTCCTTATCACGACCCAAAATGCTCGCTTTATTGTCGTAGTTTTATATCCATCATTTCTATAACATCTCAAGTCTACTGTTAGTAGATATTGTCTTCTTTAGACTTTTATTTTCGAGCTTCTCCTTAAGGTTTTTAAAACGCGTATGCTAGAGAGAGGTTTCTACACACTTATAAAGAATTATTCATTCTCCTCCCCGACCAAGGTTGGTGTAACAGTCCAAGCCTATCGCTAGTAGATATTGTCTACTTCGACCCGTTATATTTTATTGTTAGTCTCTCGGTTTTAAAATGTGTCTCCGAGAGGTTTTTATACCCTTATAAGAAATCTTACAATCCACTCCCTCGGGGGCCAGCGTTCTCGCTGGCACACTACTTGGTGCCTAATTCTAATACCATTTGTAATAGCCTAAGCCCACTCCTAGTAGATATTGTTTACTTTTGCTCGTTATGTATTACTGTTAGTCTCACAGTTTTAAAACATGTTTGCTAGGGAGAGATTTTCACCCCCTGACAAGGAATGCTTCGTTCCCTTCTCCAATTGATGTGAGATCTCACAATTAGTGTCGATTTCAATATAGTTTAACTAATTATGACATGTCTTCGATTCACATATGACGATTAATGTGTACTTTTCACACTTTGCAGTGTGTTAGAGTCTTGTGTTGACTAATCAAAGGAAAGATATTAAGTATATAAGACACTATCTCTATTGGTATGAAATCTTTTAAAGAAACCAAAAGTAAAACCACGAAAGCTTATGATCAAAGTGAACAATATCATACAATTCTATATATATTAAGAGTCTTTCGTGTTTATTTCCAATTCAAAGTGGCAGTTGGAAATGGAAGACCTAAACCTTATAGTTAATATAAAGTCTCACCTAATTCTAACTGCCATTATTCCAAGTTTATCACTAACTTAGAGATGTATATATATATATGTATATGTATATGTATATATATGTATATGTATATGTATATATATATATGTATATGTATATATATATATGTATATGTATGTATTTTATCAATAGAAAATTTTAAATTTCATTTTTCCGCGAATTTTGAACCTTAAAAAAAAAAAAAAAAGGTTAAAAACGGTAGCGGCTCAAGCCTACGGTTAGTGGATATGGTTCTTTTTGGGTTTTTTTTTTCGAGTTTCCCCTCAAGGTCTTAAAACTTGTCTACTAGGGAGACGTTTCTACACCCTTATAAAAAATGCTTCGTTCTCCTCCCCAATAGATGTAAGATCTCACAATTCATCCTTATTTGAGATCCAACGTTCTCGCTAGCACTCGTTCTCCTCTCCAATCGATGTGGGCCCCCCAATCTATCTGCCTTCGAAGCCCAGCGTTCTTGTTGGCACACTGTCTCGTGTCCACCCTTTTCGAGGGTCAGCCTTCTCGTTGGCATATTAGCTGACGTATAGCTTTGATACCATTTGTGACAGTTCAATCCCACCGTTGGCCGATATTGTCCTCTTTGAGTTTTCCCTTTCGAGTTTCCCCCTCAAGGTTTTAGGGAGAGGTTTCCACGCTCTTATAAACAATGTTTCGATCTTTTCACTAAGTATCAAAATCTACCGATTTCATACAAATTTGAATATATTTCTCAAAACCCATAGATTTGAATAAAAAAATCGAGTTTTAATGTTTTTTTCCCCTTAAAATGCTTATTTAATTTCAAACTATATTAAATATATATTTTATAATTCATTAAATCCATAAGAAAATATTTTTTAGGACGATAGTTTTACATAATTTTAAAACTATTTATATTAGGTAATAATCCAACACACCAAATGGAGTGTTCATCATGCTCTTCATGTTCATAATTATTAAAATAAATCAAAGTCAAATTTTTTACAATTTTATAATTATTTTTAGTGATTGGATGGAGATTCAAACTTCTAACCGTGCAAGAGACGTTCTATTATATTTTAGATATAATATTACTTCGTATATTATTGAATTTTCTCAATTAATCATTTTTTCATATATTTTCAATTCTTAAGTGCTAATTGAATCATTTGGAAATTAAGTTTGTAATCATTCGGTCCGATGCAATTTAAGAACGACTTTGAGAGATGAGCAAAGTTGACGTGATATTAAGAAGAAATGCAATTTAAGAACGACTTTGAGAGCTGAGCAACGTTAATGTGATATTAGGAAGAAATTGCAATTTATTCGATAATTATTTGCTTTTTTTTTTTAACAGTGATAACTTAAGTTAGTGATGCGAGTAATTTTTTAAAAATAATCCAACAACACAACCTAACCCAGCTCGAAAGTAGAAGGTTGAGTTGGGTTGTGAACTACATTCAAATTTCTCGAGTCACTAATGCTTTGAGCAACTGTTGTTTTGTAAATCACACTGAATATGTATATACTCCAACGAGCTCCAAAATAACTTCATCACACAACACGAAAGGAATCCGCTATCCGCTTCAGGTCGCTGTAATGTCTCTTCCATTGAAGCCCTATAAGAACACCCAGAGAAACAAAAACAAGCTTCCTTCAGTTTTAATGGAAAACAATTGATATCATATCATATCATATCAGCAGCGTTCTTGGTAGTGTCTTACCATTTCCTGTTACACTGAATAGATACAGACGGTTTCCTGCCGCTGTTGCTGTGATCAAAACATGAGGAGGCTCCAATTCAAACTGATAATATGTTCTTCCATTATGCTCTGCCACGCTCATGTTCATCACCTTCCCTTCTACGTTTTCTCCGATCACTTCTGGTCCGAACGCGCTGATTACTTTCTCTGGAGGGCCAACCATTTCAATCGTTGCATCGTCGCCGATAACTTCACAGGATTATGACAATGAATGCATCATTTAGCAGTGTAGTTTCTTTAAAATGGAAAGTTGAACAAGTACAAAGTTTCAGGGAAATGCACCATCGGAAAATCGTTGAACGGGCGCAACGATGACGAACAGACGACCTTCCTTTGAGCTTTTGAATCTGAGATCAATCTCTGTCCCTCCAAGATCAGCAATTGACACAGGAACCTGCCACTCAAAACCACTTTGTGTCATGTCTGCTTTGATCAAAATAAAAATGAAGTTAACTTGCATGGACATATCTAACTAGCACGAGACTTTTCCATTCCTAGCAAAGGAATAAATTGGGCATACATATCAGAGAAATAAATTGGGAATACATATCAATATCTCAATATCATTCGATGCAGATTAAAGTAGATCCCACATCGATTGGGAAGGAAAACAAAGTATTCTTTATAAGGGTGTGGAAACCTCTCCCTAGCAGAGGCATTTTAAAAACCTCGAGGAAAAATCCGAAAGAGAAAGCCCAAAGAGGACAATATCTGCTAGTGATGGGCTTGGGGCATTACAAATGGTATCAGAGCTAAACACGAGGCGATGTGTCAGCGAGGAGGCTGAAACTCGAAGGAGGTGGACACGAGGCGGTGTGCCAGCAAGGACATTGGACCCGAAAGGGGGGTGGATTGGGGGGGTCCCACATCGATTGGAGAAAGAAACGAGTGCCAGTTAGGATGCTGGCCCAAAGGGGGGTGGATTGTGAGATTCCACATCGGTTGGGGAGGAGAACGAAACATTATTTATAAAGGTGTGTAAACCTCTCCCTAACAGTCACATTTTGAAAACCTTGAGGGTCAGCTTCAAACGAAAAGTCCAAAGAGGACAATATCCGCTAGCGGTGATCTTGGGACATTACATGATACATTGTGCTTACTCCTCTAATCAACAGGAAACTTGACGCACCCCAATGTAAATAACAAAAGACAACGGACCCAGAAACGTTGGACAATAATTGGAACAACCTCAAAGACGAACTAGAGCAATTAAATTTAGGGAGAACACTGGCTAAGGCGCCAACCAAGTAAATGGTCTTACTATCAATATGGTTAGACATTGTTGTTGTATGATGACACGTGCTCCATGGTTCTGCATGTGTCATGTGCTTAATATGTGTGAAATAGTTAGAAAATGATATGTTTATGAAATGATATGACTCTGAAATGTTTATTTATTTTATTTAATATTTCATTATGTCGTCTTAAAGACATTTTCGAACACGTAAGCCCATGACGGTGTTTTATGTAGAAGTTTCAAATGAATTATTTCCACATAAAAATGACTATGATATGTATACAGCAGCGACTTTAGATTAAGTAGAAATCTAGGGTCATTACCGTTTATTAGCTAAAGTGGTTCATCAAGTTTCGTTAGTTTCTCTGATCTAATGAAGAACTGATTGAAGTAGAAGCCATTTGTTTCTTTTGTACTCCTTTAGCAGCATCTTTAATAAGGTTAAAAGGGAAAAAACATCTAACAGCAGTTACCTCTTCCCAGTCTTGTGGAACTGAAAAGGCATAAGGAATAATAGGACTCCATCCAACTCCATGCCCACCGGACTTCTCGTCGGGTCTACGATATGTCCTCCAACCTGTCTGAGCAGGCAACAAACAAGAAACCAGATATGCTAAGCTTGAGTTTAAAAGCTTTCAATGGTCAAAAATGAAATTTGCTGCATATATTCTGATTAATACAAGAGATTCCTGCACAAGCACAACAGATGCTATGTAAACTTGATATAGAAAACACGGCATGATCAGCTCTGTTTGCTTCTTTTGATGCAGCGGATCTCACCGCTAGCAGCCCAAGCCCACCGCTGACAGTAGATCTGACAATCCACCCCCCTTCGAGGCCAGTGTGCTCATTAGCACTCGTTCCCCTCTCCAATCGTTCCCTTCTCATCATTATGTGGGATCTCACAATCCACCCCCGTCGGGGCCAGCATGCTCACTAGCACTCGTTCCCTTCTCTAATCGATGTGGGATCTCATAATCCACCCCCCTTCGAGGCCCAGTATCTTCGCTGGCACACTGCCCAATGTCTGACTCTGATACCATTTTGTAACAGCTTAAGCCTATCGCTAGCATATATTGTCCTCTTTGAGCTTTCTCCTTTTGGACTTTCCCACAAGGTTTTCAAAACGCGAATGATAGGGAGAGGTTTCCTCACCCTTATTAAGAATGCTTCGTTCTCCTCCCCAACCAATGTGGGATCTCACAATCCACTCCTATTCGGGACCAGCATTTTCACTGGCACTCGTTCCCCTCTCCCATCAATGTCGTTCCCTTCTCTAATCAATGTGGGATCTCACCAAAACAATACAAACTCCAAAAACTAACAGGATGTAATTAACTAACTACAGCACCAAAAAGAATATAGAAAATTATGCATCATTTTCAATATCTATTCTCTAGTTTAAAAACATATTTGTTCTCTAAAGATTAATCCATCAACACGTGCTAAAAATTCTACATGAACCATTACAAATTTTAAAATACATGAACTAAAAAAAGGTTAGATATTAAAGTTCATACACATAGAGTGAACAAAGGTATTTCACAATCCACAATCTGCAGCAACCAGAAGATTCCAACAATTGAAACAAAGAAACAAATCATAGATGTAAACAAGAAACAAAACGACGGTAAGGATTACTTAGATACAGAGTTCAAGAGGTTAAGAAAAAAGCCAACCCTGTTCATCTGGTTCAGACAACCCAGGAATCCTCCCAGCAAGAAGACCTTGCTTAACCGCAGCCAAACACTCGCTCTGCAGCCCCAAACCCGCAGAAGAAACCAAAGAAACGCCGGATAGCAAAACCGATCTCCGATTCAAAATGGGAGACCGATTCTCCTTTTCGCCACCGACGGCCGGAACCCCCTTTTGGAGAATTTGGGAAGGAGGCTTTGATTGGTGAAAGTTGCAGGAGAATGGAACAGTGGCGAACATAGTCGATCCCATTCGAACCCAGAAACGATGATTTCTGGATACGAATTGCAGAAATGGAGGAATCAGAATGATTAAGGATTGGAGACGGAAGTGCCTAGAAATTGGGAGATCAAAGACGAGAAGGATTTAGTTCTTCGATTTTTGTGTGGATGTGGTGCGGAATTGCATCTGTTTGGCGCCATATGGATTACAACTTGTGCTTTAGGTTTCTTCAACTTTATAGATTCTTTTTTCAATTTTTTTTAAATCTTCATTTTTTTTAATCTAATAATTTTCAATTTTTAATATAATTTCTTTTTTTTTTTTTTAAACATTCTAATAAATAATCTTTAAAAATTTAAATTTAATGGTATAATATAATCTTCACTATTATATCAAAAAGATGGACAATCAAACCTATTTCTCGATTCAATAGAAGCCCAAAGAGATGAATAGGGTCCCAAATAACGAGATATATGTAAAAAACAGGTCCGTAAGCCTGCCTATTCCTAATCCTAAATGGAATGTAAGGACGTAGGGATCCATATGTAAACATAGTATCTATTTAAATACGCTCGGATGACCCCTTCTCATAATTAGAATGTATATAACCTAGCCCTATTCCGGTCTAGCCCGGTATGGAATGAACTTATAATCATAAGGAATAATTTCTTCTCACTGTCTGCCCAGTTGAAACGGGAATTTTTCATCCTGTTTAGTGGATCTTTGTAGGGTCCTCTGTAAGTTAAATGAACATCTATAATCGTCACTAAAGCAAATTTGGATCAAATGAGACTCGGGCTTCAACCTTGGCCCAACTTAGGGAAGTGGGCTAGTTTAAACTATAGGCCCAATAAATTTTTCATGGGCTTGGGCTAGTTTATTAGAGTTTTCTAAACCCATTTTTCTCGTATATAGAAACACAGGTCAAGACTGATGTAGTAACTCTGCAAACTAATTTTGGAGAGAGATTCGGGACTATACAGGTAATTGTCAAGTTGAGTATTTCTATGGAGTGTAGGGACAGGTCAAGGCTAATGTCGTGATGCTATCAACTGGTCTGAAAAGGGAATAAGGACTACACTTGTAGAAGATTGCCTTCGGTGAATGTGGTAAAGACCCTGATAGGATCTGCGACATATAAGAGAACTTTCTAGAGCCTCGAGAAAAGCCCGTAGTAACTTACTAGAATGAGTTTATTCTCTTTCCCCTTTTATTTTTCAAGTATTTGCACACTACAGATAAACAAAGGATTGTGTAGATATTCGAGTATTCATTTAATGATCGTGACAGCCTCATTCGATATTGTAAAGGTCTTTAATATATAATCATATTCATACTACTTTGATAATTTTAAATTCAAACAACAAAGATCATCGACTTGCATGCATCTTTGAAACTTTTATTTTTGCTTTCGTTTTTTGTATTGGATAGAAAAAGTTGTTTAGATTGTTTGGGGCACGAATATTCGCATATAAAAGAAGAGCATGATGACGAGTAGTAGAGAAAATGACTCGACTTTCGTCCAATGATAACAATTTTTAGACTCTTGTATGAAATATGAATTTCTAATTACATATTTCAAACTTTTTTTTTTTTTTTGTTTCCTTTCGATCGTGTTCGAGATTCCAGTTTAACCATTTATTTAGTAAGAAAAATATTAATTAATGTCATGGTACGATTTTGGAGACTTCGAATCTTGGACCGGGACTAAAAAGACAAAAAAAAAAAAGTGAATAAAAATAAAAGATAAAAATGGGATAAATGTAAATCGTAATAAAGACTCGAATACGAAGTCGAAATGAAGCTGCAAAATGCTCCCCACCTCAACCGGCAACCTATGAACATCTGAAGAAAAAAAAAGAAAGTGAGTATAAAAATACTCAGGAAGCAATTTACTTGTAAGTTTACGTCACATCCTTAACCTATCAAGTATAAACTTTACTCTAGGTTTTAGGAAGTTCGGGCCTAATTCCACAGCTATTTGAGTTTCTAAGTAGGTCTCGAAATTTCAAGCGGTTCAGATATAAACTAAGGCATCAATCATGCAAGATAAACTTCAAGGAAGATTTTAGATATTAAAATGAAGTTTGCATATGATACTAATTAAGCCATGAGCTTGTTCCTTTGCATTTCTTATGTTTTGAGTTGTATGCTAGAGTCGTTCAAATAGTCTTGATCATTCGAATCACAAGTTTAGAAACAAGTTTTCTTTACTTTTGATCTTGATCATCAAGTAATTTGTTACTAAACTTTCCCTTGAGTGGATTCCTTATCGTTTTTGGGGTTCTTGGATAATTTAGATTTTATTCTTCAACAAGGTTGTTAGATCAAATCCTAAAAAGTTCATAACAAGTTCTCTTACATGTCATAGACCCTATTGCGATTTGGAAGCTGTTCACCAGGTTCCAACGCCACTCTCATGGATGACGAATCTCATTTTGAGGTGAATCAACTTTTTGTTCTTGTGCTTAGTACGCTTCAACATTGAACATTCGGTATCTTGATTTTAGGCGCGACCTTGGACAATATGACACCTCATCTGAACACATTTGTGTAAGGTTAACTAGCGACCCTTCCACAAGAAAAATCATACACTCACCATCTGCATGAGTGACCTGTTGTGTCTGCCAGCTACACAATTTACCCATTTGGTCTCTCACCCCTCTCAAGGAAGGTTTACACTATAGTAAGTCTGTTCAAGGGACCCTTGACTGTTTCCAAACATGATAGTGGTTCCTATTCGTCTCGGTACACTACATTATTTGGCCTAGACCAGACTCGATGGTACCTATACTACTACCGTTTGGTAGGGCGTTGCTAGTGCCTAGGGCGTATCTAAGGAGATAGGAGGTGGGGACTTGGTGATACCATCAAACTACTACTGGGTTTGTTAAGCTTTCTTATTTGTCTTTTTCGCAGAGGTCAACTAGGTTCTTATGAGCTTTTAGGCCGTTTAATTCATGTCTCTCGTTTCTGGGATGTTTAGGACTAACTCCTTAAACTAATCCCTTCTTTGGGTGCACACAAGTCTAGATCTATAATCACCGCTCACAATCCTAGGGTTCAGGGCTACTAGAAACATATTGACCTAGGTCAACATGTAAACCGCTCTAGCTATAACACCCTAATCTTAAATTGGTTCTCTAATGCATGCTTGTTAGGGAGATATTTCTTTCAATCACCTAAAACACGAAACACATAATCTAAGTGTCACCTTGGTCATATCTAGGAGCTCAAAAGGTCTATTAGATTCTTAGGACGAGTAGGTGATAATGCTGACTTATAGCTTCAAGGTATTTTGTTCTGACTCATCAAGTCTTTCTTATTAGGGAGCACTTGGGTCTAGACCCTCTGACAATCGCTCATGATCCAAAGGTGCTCAGTCTACTAAACGTTTTGACCTAGGTCATCGTCTAGCCAACATGCACTTTGAATTTCTTACATTCACACGTTAATGATATAGTCTATCCAAAATTATTATTTTCCCGAGTCATGTTCATCTTCCAAAGCAATTATTAACCTACTTTTACCCTTACCAAAACAAAAAAGGAAAAAGGTTTGTTAGGGTAAAAACATTGACCCATCATCTTTGTTTATCAAATTTGCATTGACAAAGGGATGGGCAGCTGAGTTCTTGTTTGTTCAACACTCTACACTCTTCCACCAACTATACTCCAAGAATGGGGTTCCCTCCTCTTCCATTTATTTATTTATTTTTGAAGGAGTGAGAGAAAAAAATAAGAAATTGTTCTCGAATAAAGTTCTTTGGGCTCGATTTTCTTTTTCGATAAAGGTTGGATGCATAATATTGCTCTACAAAAGGTCTACATTTTATAACGACTATACGAAGACTATTAGAGAGTAGCACACTAATCTCTAACAGTGAATTGTCTAATAGACATGGACGGTATATGTCAAATAGTTAGATAGTATCGAAGGTCGAACCTCACCCATACGTGATATGAACCGTTAATAAGAGAAAAGTAAAAGACAATTAAAACGTGAACCATAGTATATCCAATATATTAGGATGAGCTTCAAGAAGTAAGATCATATGATATAATAGTTAGAGATTGTGACATCCCACATCTGTTTTAGAGAGGAACAAAACATTCATTAATAAGGGTGTGGAAACCTCTTACTTGTAGGCCACACTAAAACCTTTAGGGAAATTCTTTAAAAGGAAATTTCAAAAAGAACAATATTTGTTAGCGGTAGGCTTGAGGGCGATGTGCTAGAGAGGGCGCTAAGTGTCACGGTCATGCTTGTCCAAGGCGTGTTGCCCATGACCGCATGCTTGTTACACGCCGAAACCCTTTGTCTTATACTTCTGTACGACCTTCTTTTACTGCTTTCATGTTGTATTATTTCTTTCTTGTTTTCTTTAAGAGTATAATGTTTCAGCGAAACCAGCAATGAAATACCTAAAAATGTACTATACGGGATGCGACTAGTTGTTAAATTCTCACTACCCAAAAAGTTATATGCTGTTTAAGTCATTGTTCTTGTCTTTTTGCTTTCATGCTATATAACACCACTTTCAATCTCTCTCTCTCTCTCATTCTTGCTTTCAAAATTCTCTTTACAAAACCTCTCTCCCCCGCTTTTTAAAATCTTCTCTTAAATCGAGGCCCGAGGTTTGAATATACGTTGCCCGACCGTAGGCAACGTGAGCCAAAATTGGCTTGACTCACTCAATACTGAGAGTGAGTGCCGCACAATCGCCAAATTCACTGCCAAGAAATGGCAACTGTGACACTAAACCTCCAAATGGGTGAATTATAAAATCTCACATCGATTAGAAAAGTATAAAAACTTTGCCCTACACAAGTTTTAGAAAAGTTAGAGAGACAAAATTATTTTTTAAAAAGTCAAAAATGTTGTACAATAGTTATTAAAGCCTGCAATTGTTGATTCAGACAGCTCAATTAATACAGACAGATGGTCATGCTGACTAGTAAAAGGTCGTAAGCAAAGAATTTAAAGCTTCCAATTTTTTCAACACAAAATTATCACCAACAATTCAATTAAAAATTATGTGACAAGACAACTCTATCTCATAGGGAAATTGATTAAAATATTTATATAATCAATTAATGCGTGTGTCACAGTGTGAGCGAGCATGTCGAGACAAGTGTCTCTTTTTAAAATGGATTTTTCAAGGACACTACTAGGCGGCACGGGTGTACACGACATGAGCACGGGAGGGCCAATGTCTCAATAAAACCCAGATAGATGGATGTTCAAGAAATCCTGATGAAATGAGTGACACGCAGGCTGGTTCTCGATGGCATGACCGAACGAATTGTGATGGCCGACGACATCTCAAGACTCGGAATGGCGTCAAGACATAGAAAATGTCTTACCATTTAGAGTGAATAGTTTGAATTGTTCACTACGGTCCTAAAAAATGTGTATTTTTAATATAAAATGATTAGATAAACTACGTATTCGCTTTAAAATTATTCTCTTGCACGGGCTATAAACCTACTATCTTAGGCATTTATTAAATTAACTATAACTATTTTTTAAAATTTACCCATATAGAAAGTGAAAATGGAAAAATTACCATATGAATTAAGTTGTTTATATTGATCAATCCCATCATTTTGTCACATCCTAGGTTAGAAAAATTCACCTTATCATTAATAGAGAACAGTAAATAATTGAATTATGACAATAATTTAACTATTACAATAATTGTCCTAGAAAGGTTCCTTTTGCTTCTTAATGTCTTCCACTAAAATCTCATCAACGTTTTCTTAAAAAAAAAAAAAAAAAAAAAAAAAAAAAAAAAAAAAAAAAAAATATTAAAACAATGCTCTCATCTGACTTAAGGGTTACCCACCATCTAAAGAGCATCTATCCTAATTTCAGTTTTATGGTCGTCATCACAACGTCGTTGTCTGTACAAATATGTCTTACTTTGACTTGAAAAATATGAATGGTAGGTGGTTTAAGTATTTTAAGAAATACTCAGTAAGTAACTCCACTACTACGGGGATGGAAAATGCAATCACATGCAATCATGTTTGAGACCTATCATTTTCGGGCCTTAGTCTCAACTTCCAATCCGTGCAAAACTAAATGTTTAGTGGCATTTGGACCCAGGCAAGCTCGTATACGTTCTCCCAAGACCTGAATATCGACTAGCGTACACTTACGTTTGGACAACACAGAGGGAAAGGGCCCGCATAACATCGTGGCAAACATAAATGGGGTAAGGTGCACGTCTATATTAATCATAACGAGGAAGTAACCATATGCATATGACACAAAAAAAAAAAAAAAAAAATATATATATATATATATATATATATATATATATATATATA